CTTAAGGTATTTGTAAGGTAGTGATTTCATGCATTTTTACAAGGAGTTTATGGGTAGTATAGCAGAAAGCATGTAAATGCTTGTTGGAAAACTACTTATGCGCAAAATTAAGGCTGGTTCTGTTGCTAGAGCAAATCTTGGGCAGAGGAAAGTGGGGTAGAACAGCCAAAAGTATGTGAGATTCCAGAAAGAATATAGAGTATGCTAGCTTTGTGGAAGCATGTATTCATTTATTTATCTTATGCTTTAGTGAGACTTTAAAATTAATTGATTTATCTTGTGCTTTTAGTGAGACTTTAAATCAACATTTTTATCTGTCATTACTGACATTTTTCATCTACCCAAAACTGTATAATTTACTGAAAACCAGGAGCTACAAAATAAACATTTCCCTGGGATAATTTTGAAATAAAAATGATTTTATTATATCAAAACAATTTTGATATCTTATAGATGTATGTATTCAATTGTTACTGATATATCTACACAAATTTAGAAGCATTGATAATGTTACCAGATTGTCATGACAAAAAATATTTTAATACATTTTTTCAAAACCACTTAAGAAAACCTTTTCAAATAAAAAGTGTTAGCAAGTGTTATCAATTAGTAAATACCAAGCACAGTAGTATTTGTGGAACTGGATCTACCTTGTAACCACAGCATGTGTGTTTAGATACACAAATGGATATAAAACAAAATGGTAATTGCATACTTATACAGATGTACGTGCAGACATACATGCATTCCAGCACAACTTAGGTGGCAATTTTTTTAAATGTCATTCCTATATGTTGAATATACCAAATGTTTACGATCATTTTTTAAAATATATTTTGTTCAGTGGGTATGTCTACATGTTCATTAATGCATTGTAATTACAACGCATTAAGTTTAGTACCTGTAATTACAGGTACTAACTTAATGTGCTTTAATCAGAGCTACTGCACAGTAACACCAACGCATGCTTTTTTGTGATGCTAATGTGCAACAGAATTAGTCTACTGTGCATTTAATGTCTCAGGTATACATGCCCAGTATATGTTTATTTTAATTTTATTACATTACATTTGTCCTGTTGATTAGTGTTCCAAATAATTGTAAATATTTTATTTATAAAGTATGATTTTTAGGTATTTCAGATGATTTTTAGGCATTTTCTGTTCTGTTTTAATATATACATCTAAGATCTCTCCATTGTTTCTGTAAGATTAATGTAATCAGCAAGATGGCAAGCCGACATTCACAGATCAGAGATGTAGCTTTTATATTTTGTTTTTGTCTACCTATCCATTCATCCTAGGTTGTAAAAAAGATGTCCAGTACCTTAGGGCATTTTTACATATGCTCCGGGGAGAGTGGGAGGGGAGAACAGGGACAGTGCTTTAATTAGAGTGAATGTGAGAGCCGATCAAATTAAATCACCCACAGTGTTGCATGTATCAGCGTCCCCATGCTTCAAAATGGAAACAGGGGTGCTTTAACTAAAGCTTGTTGAATGAGCTTTAGTTAAAGCACCCCTGCTGCCAGTTTTGAAAGGATGCTGATACATGAGATGCAGAGGCTGCTGGAGGCGCACTACTTAGCATGGTCCAGCAGACTTGATGAATCAAGTCTCCTCCAATGTGCTGTAATTACAGTACATCAAAGCAGCCTCCCCACATGTCTACAGGCACCCTTAGAGTCTATTCACTAGAGCATCTTATGCTTTATGGATTGTCCTATGGTAGTGATTCATTAGACTCAAAATACTCCTCATTAGATTCAAGGCAACCCTTGGAAAATGCCACCTCCTAGCTTTCCCTTGTTTTTTGACTACAGAAAAACAGCAGAGCAATTCTTCTGTTGCAAAGCACTCTGAAAGAGCACAACAGGTCAAGATGTTATTGACACTATGGATTCCTATTTGAACTCGGAGTTTATCCTGAGAATCCTGGTTACACGCTTATATTTTGGAGCACCACTAAAAGGGGCTAACATTTTGGAACACCCTGAAAAGGAACTCAGGGCACCCCAGGATGTCTCAGTACCTTGGTCGAGAATCACTGTCCTATGAGAAGACTAAATTTATTATAATGGCTCAGTTCATGGTTTCATACCCCAAGCTTCTTTGGATATATAAATGCTGTGTCTGAGTACCTTGCAGTCTTTAAAGGCCTTAAATATTAATTTTAGGCACATCCTGGAGCTCTTAACCCCTGGATTTTCCGATTTTAACACCTGAAACTAGTTTTTAGCATACTTTAGGTGACTTAAAGTTATTCCATTCCAGGGCAGGTTTATCTCTGATCTGTGTTACCCAGCTCATGTTCCATTAATGTGTGGCCACTTCATGCAGATAAGCCACCCAAGTTGCAGTTGTTCAGCATCCCAGGATGCAGGCTTCTCCTCCTGTTCCTGTTCTGTGTGGGCAAACTTTCCACCTCCTGAACTCTACTGCCCAGGGACAGTTCCAGCACCAAACAAACTCCAGTTCCTGCCTCTAGGGGTGTTGTTACCTTTCCAAATCCAGGGATACAACCCTGTGCAAACAGCCTGTCGGCGGTGCCTACAGGCGGTTGCTGCTCGTCTCCCCCCTCCCCCGCCGCTGCCAACACCACTGGTGGCATCTGCGGGCAATCAGCCATCCCCACTGGCCACTACCGATATGTCTGGTGGCGTCTGTGGGTGGTCGCCAATCCCTGGTCGGTGCTTGTCACTCCTCCCCCACTACCGACAGCGCTGGTGACATCTGCAGGAGCTCCCACTTACCGCCACTGTGCCCCCCCAGCCGCCGGGGGCACACGTCATTCATGAGTGCTACATTACTCCCTTTTTCACAGATGGAGAATCAAGGCACAGATAGATGAAAGATCAGACCCTCACAGGTATTTATATCCAGTATCTATGGTGAATCCTTCCTTAGCTGGGTATCACTGCTAAGGAAATTAGTCCTTGTCAAGGCTCACTCCTGCTCTGGATGTGCCTGGGTCTGGGAATTAGTTCCCCATCACCACTATCAGTCTCCGCTTGTCTAATGGCTGTGGATGGGCACAGATGGAGCAATAGTAACTTTAGGGAAGTGATTTCCTTAGCAGTAGTCCTGGACACAGCAGGGAGACATGGCCTTTGCCTTTATTGATTTCAGGTTTGGGCATAAGTATCTTGCCTGAGGTCAGGGAGAAAGAACATGTGGTAGGGCAGAGACCTGCACCCTGGCCTCCTGAGCTGCTTATCCTACCTGCGGGGCTCTCTTCAGCCTGGGCTCTGGCAGTGGCTAATATCTCCTGTAAAGGAGGAGGCAGAACTTCCTTAATAAGGCACCTAGCCAGCTGTGCCATGCTGTTTCTTTTTGGTGAAGGAGTCTCCCCTTCCTCCTGCAGGCAATCATTTCATGCCCTGAAGCATGAAAGCTGATGACCTGTTATTATTTCAGATTCAGTAGCTGCTGTACAAATAATTCTGGTAATGAAATGCTTTCTGTGCATCCTCAATTTAACCAGGGCATTCAAATGGTTGGTAACCTATTCCAGAGGGAAAATCCATGTGTTGATTATGTGCTGCATAAAATAGCATTATTTTTATTCTAAATAACACCATCCTTTAATTTCATCAGGAGTCTCATTGTTCACGTGCTATAACACAGGGTGAAAAGGAAGGTGAACCCATTTTCAGGAGTTCCTTCCTAACTCCTCTAGTGCAGTCCTTAGCCTTTTAGCTCTGTGCTTTCCTATTTTATACTTTTTGCAATGTTTCCTCAAATGTGACTATAACCTTTTCCTCACCACTCTGTTTTCCTTTTTGTGGGTCTTTTGTTTATCACTGTGATGTTTTTCATAAAGTGAAGTGGCCACAACTATTTTCATCTCAGAGTTTTCCAGTTTGATTTGTTGTGATCACTCTGCTTTATATTCTAGCCTGTTTCTAATATGCCCCTGCATCATATTGTTTTATGTGTTCTCATTCATTGTACTCTCCTTGTAAGTCGTTGCTTTTCCTTGCTGGTTTTCCACAGGTGGAATTCAATCTCTTTCTTGTCCTGCCCCCTTTTGCAGCAGCTAGAGGTCTCTTGTGGCAATGTATAGGCAGAAAGCGAACGGTAATTTGAGCAAAAGGGCTGATTTTAGCTGCTCTAAGATTACGAGAAAATCTGAAGCTTGAGCCTTGTGTCTCACTTTGGGATAAGGCTCTGGAAGGTGAGTACATTTTTTTTCCTCCCTGTGACATTGCTACCCAGAGCAGCAAGCAAAAGATCTTGTTTCATTTCTCTAAACAATGTGCATAGAATAGGAGCAGGATAGAAAGGGGAGGGTCTAATCTCCAAGTCATTCAGATGTTGGTGGTGATCACAGCTGGGGTCCTACAACTGTTCTCATTCAGACTTGCACAATGTTGGTTAGCCGCACTGCCGAACATAGTTTGCCTTGGTACTGGTATTATTTTGCACTTAGGTGTTTTAAGGAGCTGTACTTCACTAGGCAACTCCAGACAGATATGCTGACAGTCATGGATAATTTCTTGTGGCTCTACATTAAAGTTCAGTACTATGTACTTCTTAAAGAGGTTGATTTTGATCAGTAGGTGCAGTCCCTCATCTGGGCATTACCAAGTTTTACCATGTGTAAAGTATTTGGTCAAAACCAATCCTGGAGGTGTCTCCATGTGCATAGAAAAGAGCCTGTTTTTTTGTGAGATGCATTTTCACTTGGGTGACGACGGGCATCAGAAGGGTGCGTTTTGTAGATGTTTTGGGAGGACGTTTACAAGGAAGTGCATTTTCTTAAAGGGACATGATTAAAAAAGCCATGAAGAAAAGATGGTACAAGCTCGTTGTGATATCTAACTTAAATGAGTTTGTGGTGTTTGGGTTGTCAAGGAGCCCACGATGGTTCAAATATGCACACAGTATTACAGATGACCTATTGAAATAATTTCAGAGCAGTGCTGTGGTTGCTACGACAACCAATGCTCTTTTGGCTTTCATCTGGCCATGTGACAGTGACTTTGACGTCAGCTGGAGGCAGAGTCTGTGGTTTAGTCCACACAGCCAAAGGCTTGTGAGAATCTAGTGGATGCTGGATTTATCCCTGTTGCTGCTGCTGCTGCTGCTGTTTCTCAGAGGTTGCCAGAGCATGGACTATTAAAAACTTGCATTTCTGCAGTGTGAGGTAACTGGTTTGCTTTATGCTCTGATCAGGTATTTCTTCTTTTAAAAAGGGGGGGAAAGCCTATTGTGGTTTACTATTTCTCACGTTTGGTTTGCCTGCAAGTTTGCCTTGATGAACAGCTACGGTACTATTAGACAAATGCAAAGCAGCTTCCAGCTACTATTTCTGTGTGCAGTCTGCAAAGCAAAGTTAAATTTGGATTAATGGTCCATGGGGGGGGGAATAAAATGTAATAGTTGGTTCTTGACACTTTGAACTACTATGTTGGAATATAAATAGAACAACATTAGGAAAATATTTCCTGTTGGGGGAAAAATCAAGTAATTTCTTTAGGAAACTCTTCAGGAATTGTGTTTTAGACTTCAGTATAGCCTTGTACTTTTGCTGGAACTTTAAAAAAAAATCATCCTGATCATAGTAATCTGAACATCATTTAACTTTTTCTTTCATTTGCATTGTGCTTAATTAATAGACACTTTGACAGTGACTGATAGAAACATCATGATGCCAAACTCCAAAAGTTTGAGTTCTCCTTTAAATCAGCTTTGTTCATGCACGCTCCAATCCACACTGCAAGCCTACTATGTTAAGTCTTTTATTGCTGTCTTGGAGTATGTGGTAGACTGACTGTATTCTGTTTACAAAGGAAAAGGTCAACAGCTTCCTGAAAAAAAAATCCCAGATATGCCAAGATGGACAGACTGTTGTAATGTATGCTCTTGCCCCTCTGCTCTGTCTCTCTCTGTCTCTGTCTCTTGTCTCTCTCTCCCGTGCACACACACAGAGCTTTTCTTTTATGTGGGGAAAGATTAGCTTAAAAAAACCCTTATCTTAAATAATCTAAATAATTGAAAAGTAAAATAGTAGGTTGATGATTTTTTTCTTCTGAAGAAGTTTGGTTTTTAATATTATAAAACTAGAAAGGCAGTTGTTACTACGTGCAGAATGCAAGTGTTTAAAGTTTTATACCTTTGAGTTTGCCTGTGTGTATGTGTGAACCTATATATTCATTTAAAAAAATGACTGAAGCATCATGTGTATTCTTTCCTGAAAAAATATATTCACCAATTCTATTATATCTAATCATTTCCTGTTCACTATCTAACAAAGGTTAAAAGGTTTACTGATGAAGATTGTATTTTTAAAGCAGCCCCCATGCTGAAATTGTTAAGGAGCTGCAAAAAAATGTAGAACAATGCAGTATAAAAGAGAAAACAGATATGTCAAAGCAGATGTAAATCTATGTAATGTGATTTAAAACTGAAAGTACCTCTGCAAAGCGAAATGTTGCTAATAATCTAGAGTTGACTAAATTCAGCATGCTTAAAATAAGAACAGAAATTAATGCACCTAGAACCTTAAAGCTTTTATAGTTGATGCTGTTTAATGTAGACCAGGAAGGTTAAAACTTGTGCAAAAATCTCAAATATTTTAAGATTTATAATCTGAAGCTTCATGTTTTAAATGTTTCTTGTAATAGTGGAACATCACTATGACTCACGCTGAATGCACTTTGTCTAAATGAATTTAATGAAGATTAACAATATGCAGCAACTGTAAAATACCATTATAGTTAATATCCTTTTATAAACTCCATGATAATTTAAAATCTCTAATGAAAGTTTAGTCTTCTCTGCCTGGTAATGTGATGAATGGTAATCTCTCATTGACTTTGGTGCAACTGGAGGGCATTCAGCCCCACTCCTGTGTGAACCTTATAGGACTTTCTGGAGGTGCTCTGCTTTTTTTATCTGAGGCTAAGAAATGAACAGGGAGGAAGTTGGCTGTTTGACAGACCAACCCTGAATTCAGAATACAGGAACTGTGAAAGTGCACAGGTTGGCTTTTTAGCTGAAGGGAGGGAAGTAGCTAGTAGAAAAGATCACTCCACTGTGCATTGCTCACAAGGACATTGTGCTTTATTTTAAAAGTCTAGTTGACCCTTTCTGTTATCAAATTTTTTTTACTACTACTTGGATTTTATCTTCTGTGCTAGTGAAGTTCATAAGATAATTCAGCTCCTCTCCTTTTTCGTGCCATAACCCGATGTTACCTCCTCTCCTACCCAGCTTCCAAGGGCGAGTAAGCCGTGAAGCAAACAGGATATAGGGTTCACCTTCTCATACTTTGCTCCATGCTATATTTGCAGAGACTTTGACATTAGAGTATACACTTGGTTGCATTTGAAACCCACAGGTCTGATGTAAAGTGAAACAAAACTGCATTGCATTCACTTCTAGTGACATTACAGCCTTATCCAGCTGCACGGAGACCAGCACGTGTAATTCTTATTAGCCTTAATACGAGTTGCACGAGTCAAACACTCCTGCGCATCAGGAGGAGACTATCCCTTCACACAGCCTTGTCTCTTTATCCATGAAAATGAATGAACTGATCAGCAATTACCATAGAATCGGAGAATTTCACCTTAGGGAACACCTTAGCTAAAAAAGTATCTAAATCTCTATGTATCACTACCCCTTAAACTGGATTTCAGCAGTAAAATTTTAAAAAACCCACTGGAATGCTTGATACATTCACATATAAATAATTAAACATTCAGCTCTTCATTGGACTGTATCTGGCTCTTATGCTAATCTGTAAGTCTTTCAAGATAGATAGGCAATTCTTTTAACATTTTAAAGGCTGGATCCTCCACTCAGTTACACTATGTTACAGAGCTATAACTCCATTGTATTCTGCGTTATGGCACAGGCTATGTCCCACCGCGGTGCTGTGCGGAGGTACCAGAAGCAGTATAGTTGTGTTAGTGCAGCAGTCTGATTACGCCAAATGAGAATCAAATCATAGTAGCACGGGAGGAGTTTTACAGTAATGCATCAATAGCAGGGGTTAGCAACCCTTAGGCGCAGTGGGCTGAAGTGTCACTGCTTGGTCTATGGTGGGCTGGCACTTCTGACGCAGCGGCTGTCGCTGGATGTGGGGATTAATAAATCTGCACTGTCACCACAGAAGCCCCCTGCCATAAAAATGCTACCAAGATTTGGGCTTCATGGGCTGGATAAAATTATACTGTGGGTCAGATCCAGCCCACAGGCATTAGGTTGCAAACCTCTAATTTATACTGCTTCTGGGACCAGAGCTAGCTTGCTCAGAGCTGGCATAGCTGTCTCTGCATGGTACCAGCAGTGGCACTGATTTAGGGGTGGGCACATGGGATGGCAGCCCTGGCTGCTTATTTAGAGGGGATGGCAGAACAGCAGGCCCCTAAGGAGTCCACACCACGACAGCAACAACATGCATCCTAAGACTCTCAAGTGCTGGGGGCTCCTTCCTTCCTCACTCGCCTCTCTGGTGCTTGGCATCTCGCAGGCAGCTCTGCCCCGAGCACCAAAATTCCTCTGCACTGCACTGTACAGGGAACTGGGAGAGAAAGTCGGGTATCAGAACCTTAAATTACATTTGCAGAAGTTGTTTTCGCCCTTGTTAGAAACTGTTAAATTGTGATAGTAATGGCTTGAAACCACACTAGCGATAACTGGTTTAAGTGACAGGAGAGCAGCAGTGGAGAACTGGCATTTCAATGAGCAGTTGCTTTTGTACCTCAACACAGATGCCATGTTGGGGCGGGAAAGTGCGTGCTTACCCCATGGTTTGTCCCAAGCCCAAGTACACAAATCAAATTCTGGAACGGTTTTATATTCACATTTTAAAGGGACCTTCTTCAGCGACCTGAAATCTGTGCAGAGAGTTATAGTCAGATAACAGTTAAAGAAACAGAATGCGTTTTGGCTGTTCTCATACTGCTGTTAAATTTATCTTCTTAAATAGCAGGGGATAAGAGCTGAGGTATGAGAAACAGTAATTTTGTAATTATTTTACATGGATGGAATTGTTCTGTCATCAAATCTGCATTTCAGTCGGCATTACAGGATGAAAATATAATTAGAAACTGCAGTTCAGAAATCATTGAACGCAGTATTTCCCAGAGGGAGCACACTAAGAAGCTGCTGTCATTAAAACTTTAGCTGATGTTGAAATCCTAGAGTTGGAAAATATGAACGTGGAGTTGTAGAGTTCGCTTCACTTCTGTGGTCTTAACACTCTGGACTTTCTGCTGGACTTCAGTTTTTGGATCATTTAAAGCTAAAGTATCAGGCCCTCTTTCACAGGAATTTAAGCTGATGCTGCTGTTAGTTACCAAATTGTTTGCAACCACAAAATGACATTGAGACAATGTTAAGACTCCTACTTGCTCCTGAGAAACCCAGGAAGCTTGGACTGAAACATTTTTAATCAGCCCCAGTCGCAAAGCCATGAACTGACCCGATGCCTGGATTCCCCAGAAATATATAGTTGCAGTGAGATGAGTAAAGGATGATCTTCTGGGCTTAACTCTGTAGTTCTTTGCTCCCATGAATTTGACAGTAAATATTACCAACAGTGTGTAAGGCTGGGATTGCATGGCTTTCATTGATTTCAAATTGTTTAAACTTCTGTTGTTGTTAAGAAACACATTCTTTTTTTCCTGGTGTTAATGGGAAATGAAAATTGGTATCTGAGAGAGATGAAAAGTTTTGAAGGATCTTTGGATCCAGTTTCATGGTGATAAATCTATTCTAAATTTATTGTAAATGCTGACTATGCCACAAGGGGCAAAGTGTGCCCATCAGGTCAGTGGATGGCAGGCAGCCTGATGCACAGAGCATGATGAATACAGCTTTATTCCACAGCAGGAGGGCTGCAGGTGCTGGAAGCACATTCACTGTTCAGATTTCCCTTCATATACCACACAGCTGTGCTTCTTGGGGATTTCCTGTGCTGCTCATGGAGAA